GTATCCAGTCAGAGGTTTGCATTTCAGCAATCTAGCTTTCCAAAGCAGTGCTTCCAACTACCCTACACCTGTGCACTGAGTGCTGGCGGGTGTCTCAACCTTTCCAGAGTAAGAACCAACTGCAACAGTGCATTTTGTATTGGAGCCTTTCTGTAACTTGCAGTGACTCACATGCATAAAAACACACGCCTGCCCTACATTCTGTTGTAATTTTGTTAAAGAAAGCAAGTTCAAGGAAATGTCTGCATTTAAGGACTTGTGAGGGTCCTTCTGTGAGAGTTTACTCAACAGGGGACAATCAGTGGCTGTCCCGTATGCATCAGAGCAGTAGCATGTATGATTGCTAAGCGGGCGCTGGAAAAAATCATTGATTTTTGGGAATTAAAAACAGAGCACAGAGAGAGCAGAGAAAAGCAGGAATAAAGTGTAGGACATTTGGAAGTCATAGGGGGGTTCAAACTGATTTCTCCAAACTGATTTGCTGTAAATTTTCCAATGTTTTGCTATTAAAGGAGTGACAGAGATTTCAAATTTTTCCACTTCCCCAACACTCTTCCTTAACTTCACTAAAATACATCTCTGTGATATACCTAGCTACTGGTCCAGTCTTTGGATATTGGTAGTGGAAATTGTGGTTTGGGGGTAGAAGGTGTTTTTCCATTTAGGAGGGTTATAGAAAGATACATAGGTGTCATATGGCCTGAGCTTAGTGAGGCCCATTGCTCAAATGCTCTGAAAATGTAATCTGGGTGTTCCTTCATTTTAATTAACAGTATGCTTTCTTGACTAGTCAGAGCATGAGGCATATGGATAATGGGCATAAAAATTATATATAAGATAAAATAGAGAATTGGGTGTATTGACAAGAACCAAATGGACAAAAGACAGCTCCTACATGAGAGAGGTATTTCTCCACTTACAATCTATGAGCTGCAAAGATTTTGTATGAAGGGAACAAAGAAAGATGTGAGGAGTAGAAGAGCATTCTCTTTTTTTGACCAAGAAAAAATATTTCTATGAAATACTGGCTTCCAGTTTGACAGGAGTGAGACACATTTAGATCTGTGAATGCATTGCTACAAAAGCATTGAAGCTTTGCATTGGGAGAGCTGCAAGGTTTGAGGAATTATGCATTTATTTACTGCTCCTAACGAGCACAGACTTGCTGTATTTTTTTTACTGCTTTCAGTCAGAGAATCACAGCAACAGAGAAGTCTACATGGACCTGCTATGTACAGTTTTAAGGTGAAAAAATTCTTAACCTGTGGACACCTAATAGGGAAGAAGCTTGGTGAGAGGAAAATTAGTGTGACATAGTAAGGTATCCACTTGTTTGTCACTGACATCATTGCCAGAATATACAGCAGCATCCAGGCAAGATCAATAGCAGCCTTGTGGAGCTGTGTGTTTCAGTTGGTTCAGCTGACTCTTAAAGGTCATAATCTGTTTTGACATCCTTCCTCCTTGTCTGGCTCTTTTAAGCTGCTCGAAAAAATTATCTGTATCTTGTGTTGACATGACTTCTGAAAGTAATAAGAAAACACCCAAAATCTTTCCGTTAGAGAGGTGAGAGGCTGCAGAACACAGATAGAGCACTGAGCAACAGAACTCAGTGTTCCTGCAGGATCAAGCTCACAGTGTAGCAGCACTTCCCAGCTTTGAGTACAAGAAGGCTTTGGGAAGAAAAGAAAGAAAAAGGCATCATAAACTACTAAAGTTTGGTTTCCTATGGATTTGGTGGTGCTGTTGATGGCAAGATATGACTGAAGCTTTTCCCTTTTCTGGGCATTTGTAGGTACTGTTTCACATGTAGATCCTCTGCTGCCTAATACAAGCAGCTCACTTTTTGGCTTCCCCGCTGTGGGTATCCTAAAGAGGTTTTCTGTCCTCTGCTACCCACCAGTTGTTGAACTGGACTGGACAAGCCCTGAGGATAGGTAAGGATGAGCAGATACACACATTTACAAGGACATAAAGAATCACATGTAATGTGATCACTTTATCAGGCTAAAAAAGATTTTTTTTCAATTTTCAAAATCATTTGTGCTTATCTTTTGAGGTGAGGGAGGGTGGTGACGCTGCTTATCTTATCCAAAACTTTTTATGTATCATATAGGATATATTTGCACATCATGAGAGTATAGTCAGAATAAAACCCCTTGTTGCCAGTGATTTAAGCTGTCAGATAAAAAAGGTGTGCTGCTATCTAGCTGAAGAAATGTATTAGCATGCAGAAGGCAATGCTGCTTCCTCTGGGAGGTTTTAATCAAGCCTCTTGTACTGATTGAGATGCAGTGCTCAAAAGTGAGAAAAAATGATTAACAAAATAAAAAATCTAGGGCGTTTTTCATGTGAACATTCATCAGTATATCTCATGTAATTACATAGCCAATAAATCAACATAGTGTGTAAGTGCTTCAGTCACGGTGTAAATATCTTAATGACTGAAACGTCTTCACACATGAATAATTTATACCTGTATGATTCATTTTTCATATCCATGCTTTGCTTCAACATGATAAACTAATCCTTCTCTGTCGGGGAATGTATGCTTGATTATTGCCTTCTGATTTCTCTTCCTTGTGTTTATTTTCCACAGTTAGACACACTCCATTTCTTCTCTTCTGATTCCTCTAATGTAGTTATCTTATTTATTCATCCTGTCTGCCTTGGTTTGCCTTCCCTGTGCATTTCAACAGGCACCTGGGAAATAACACTAGGACATAAGCTGATCATGCATTTCTCAAGTAACTCTGGAGCAGCATCTTGAAAGATTTACTTATTCTCGACAGATATTTGCATTTCGTTTCCTCTCCTCAAGGCAATCGTTAGAGACGGAACTTGTGACAGGCCAGTAACAAGTTGAGCTTTGCCATTTGCTGGATCGATGTGAGTTCAGTCCTATGCACGGTACTGACGACAAACACGATTTGAGTCTTCTTCCTGTGTGTTTGTAAATGCGAGCTCCAGAAACCACTGGAATATTCAAGAAGAAAATAGTTGTTTCTCAGTGCAGAAATGGGAATTTGGAATTCTTAAATTCTGCTCTGCTGAGCATGTTTATTTGGCTGTATGCAAGTCACTATGTGCATCCTGCCTTACTTAGACACTTAACCAAGGCATCTCAGGCAGGAATTGGATTGCTATAACCTCCTTCTTCAGTTGCTAGAGAAAGACGAGTAGCTGCTGAGGGCAGTTCATCCAACTTCGAAGCTATTTAGAGCCGAAGTTCCAGGTAGGAATGCTTCTGGGTGAACTCTCTTCTTTTGGATCACAATTTAAAGTTTAGTTCAGATTTATAGAGCAGCTTATTTTGGTAGTTCCTGTGGAAGTTCAGCCTTTAAAAAGTCAGTCCCAGTTGGGCACAAAAATGAATCACTCAGAATTTGTGGGTGCTTTTCAAAAATACTAAATCTCCCCTTCAAGCCCTCAGGTTTCTAACTGGAAAAACGACAACAGAAATACTAAAATTATTTCAAGTTGTGTGGGAAAAAGGAGTTCTATAATAATTAACTGATGCTTTACATGGTATTACATGTTATTCCATCCAAGCACCCTTTTTCACTTCTTATACCATACGCTTCTATATTCAGTTTACCTATGTTGTGCTCTAGTAGGAAGAGCACCTGAGCTGTGTGTTAGTTAATCAACCTTTCATTTCGTATCTCGTATCATGGTATATAACTTGCTAGTTTTGTACGATAATACTCTTTCACAGTCTTTCTCTTCTGTGTCAGAATTACATTTTTGGACTAATTTTCTAGATTGAAGACTGAATGGATTATCTTGGCATCTCTTTTCTTACGTACTTTGAAGCCCAGCTGCACTTCTTTTACAGCTTCAATCTTAGGGACTTCTGAGAGATACCGCAGTTTAACATTTTCTTAGTGTTCTTACAGCAGACTCCAGTACTATGAATGCGAATCTCTCCTGTTTGCTAATAAGACATTTGGTAGCTTTACTCCAGCATGTCTTTGGCTTATTCATTTTTCCTTATTCTGATTGTAAGCACCTCCAAAAGCTTCTGATATCACTTTCTTTGTCTCAGTCTTTGTATGTCCTTAAAGGACACCTTCACTTACTGTATCTTAATGGACTGAGATCACTTGTTGATTGGTGGCTGTCGGTTAGTAGGAATTCTCTGGCAGTCTCCAGTATGTACATCACCCTTATCACTGCCTGCTTTGTTTTGGCATTTAGGAAGCAGCCTGCTGTCTTTTTTCTTTGCGCTGTCTAGCACTTGTCTCTCTTGGGCATAGTTCCTCACCACAGTCATCAATCATGACTGTTGCTGCTTCCTGTTTTTCTGCTTTCTTGTTTCGATGTTGGTCATTTACTGTCTGTGCCCTGTTGCAAGGCAGTACTTTATATCCAGTGACAGGATATTACAAGAATCTTCTGTACATCCTCACATGCATTTTGCTTTAACTCCTACTGCTTCTAGCTGTCGTATCTCCTGCACTTTCTTCTAAATTGTCCTTTCTTTTTGTGAGAAATTTCTGGTAGACCCTTGCTTCACCTTTTTCGTTTAATCGTTATAGCTGTTGTCTACAGACCTTGCCCTTCTTTTCTGAAAATTAATTTAGCATCCTTCTCTAACCTATTCAGTTCATATTCTCTTTCAGACAATTTTCTACATTTTTAGTAGTTGTGTTTCTTCAGTATGCCTGTTTCAAATTCCAGGTCATTTGTAGCTTAGTTGTGCAAGAGAGTGATCTGCTGACACATCCTGGTTCCCTAATCTGGCCTATCTCTAATTCTGACACAGTCAGAAGCTTCCCAACATCCCAGATTCACAAACCTCCTCTTGCTTTTATTGATTTCAACATTAAGAGCTGATTCTTGACACCTAAACTGTTGCTATTCCAGGATTTCTTTATGTGGCATGTTGTCTGGTCAGAGAAATAGAATAGCCATGAAGATTTTATGTGAGAAAATAGGAAAATGGCGTAAGTGCCACACTGGTATAATACTGATCTTTTGTTGTCTAATTTTAACAGATTCAGTAGCAACAGCGTCTGGGCCACTGCTAGTTGAAGTTGCCAAAACTCCCGGTGCTGCTCTTGGGGTTGCACTATCTACCTCGATGTGCTGCAACAAGCAGGTCATTGTCATAGACAAAATCAAATCTGCGAGTATTGCAGACAGGTGAGTGTGACAGAGGGCTGACACTGCAGGTCCATACATCCATTCTATTCCTGCTTTCATTTGGTTTGGTTTTAAAGGAACCCTTCAATTTTTGATGAATTTGACTGAACCAGATGCTCTCAAGGTTGCTAGGTCTTAAAATTAACACTTTGTCAGATCGTTGTTCCATACTGCCGAGTTTAAGACTTCCAGGGCACCATTTACTTTAGCTCATTCGCGTAGTATTCAATGACAAAAGCCAGCCCCCACATAATATGTGACTTGTCTGCTTGCACTATGCAACACAGAAGTTGAGAAGTCTGCTCTGACTGTTAAATGCAATGCTGCAGCAGAGATTAGTATTTAAGAAAATAAATAGCCTGCTGGAATTCTTAAAGTAAGCATACAATATGGAACAGCTGTCAAGGGAAGTAAATTTCGAGGCTCTGCAACCTTGAAGTGTTCTTTTAGAATATATCATTCATTCTTATGGCACAGTGAAATGGAACTCCTTATGTCTGGATTTTTTTATTCACATTTTAGAATATGACTGAGGTATTAGGAAGACTGGCTTCTGTATTTTGGAGTTATTTTGCAGTAATTTTTCCACTTCATTTAAATCTTTAAATAAAACCATTTAAACAATTTTTTTTAAAGTTAGATATTTTACCCCCATGGTCTAAGCCTCTGTTCACAGAGCTGTGGGATCTTTTCTGGGGTGCGTGCGTGTGTGTGTGCGTGTGTATGTGTATACATATACAGTATATTTCTGTATACATATCTCTATCTAAAAAATCCTTAAATATTACGTTTCAGCAGCAAATTCCTCCTGCATGTCCCCAGTCACCCTACCTTGTAACTCCTCTTTGACAACGGTGCTTTTGGTAGCACCCACTTGTAGCAGTGAGTCTACAGCTCCTCTGTGGGCTTTTAGTAGAAAACTTTGAGAGTGGCGGCCATTGATCCAGGGGTGTTCTCCAGTTCAATGGTGCAGGATGCTTTAATTTTCTCCCTCTGTTTTTTCCCATTTCGCAGGGGGTAACCAATTAAAGGAGCTGTCCACTTGACTGGTACGTCGGGATGCTGACTGCTGTGTTTGCATTTCTCAACTCATCCAGTAGCCAGTCTCTTGAGTGCAGCGAGATTTAGCAGATAGCCCCCTCCCCACCCCACTCCTCAAGTCACCATGCTAGCCCTGGTTTCATTATTTGTTTGACTACTGCATAATTTCATCATCATTTACAGCTTTTGTACTGATAAATGTTTGAACTGTAACTCAAAAAATGATGAACTGGGTGCTTGTGTGAGGGATATGTGACCAAGTTATTTGAGTCTCCTTAAGCTCTTCTCATTTTATTCTGCTGTCATTCACACATATTTTTATAGTCAGCTACCCCATTACAGTTCTGTGAGTGATGTCTTGGCATATACTGTATTAACTGAATTGTTTTTAAGGTTTGTATTAATAGATACTAAGTCTGACCAGTGACAATGCCTACAAAGCACAAATCTCTCTCGAAAAAAAAAGAACACGCTCATAGTTGTCATGACCAGTTTGAAGGCAGTAAAACTCATTTTCCAAGTGAAGAGCATAGTTGATCATACCAAGTTTTTCCTCTTTTATGTAGATGTGGTGCATTACATGTAGGAGACCATATACTGTCCATTGACGGCACCAGCATGGAGTACTGTACACTGGCAGAAGCAACGCAGTTTTTGGCTAATGCAGCGGATAATGTCAAACTTGAGATCCTTCCTCACCACCAGACACAGCTAGCACTGAAAGGCCCAGAGCACGGTAAGAGGATCTGTAGCACCAAACACCCTTTCTTTTTCTGTCTTTTGCTTTGCCTGCCCTTGCTGAATGTCCGGGAAAGCAATTGCTGCAGTTGTGTCTGTAAATGTTATTGCAGCTCCCCAGGTTATGCTTCTGCAGTTTCTGAGAAGCTCTGTGTTTTCTTGGTCTTAATGTACCCGCTGAGATTCCTATGCATAGAGAGGGAAATGTTTTACTGAGAAACAGCTCTGCATACTTGTAGATGTACATAAAGACACCTGTTGTTGCAATCATTGTGAGGGCAACTAGGTACTAAACTAGGTAGTAAATGAATCTCTAAATTGCTTCTTAAATGTAAAAGGGGGGAGGAAAGACCACAGCCAACTTCTTTTCAGCATAATGACTTGATAGTCTGTTATGACCAGTTCATTAATAACACCTGTTTTCCCCTAAAAAAAACTTTTTTAAAACCTCTATTTTCTCTTTTTAATGGCGTTATTATTTATTGCCATCATCTTTTAAAATGCTTCTGAGATTGCTTCATGGGTTCATTGTCAATGCTTATGAAAAAGGTTTGTTTGGAAACCGTTCCCTGGATCCCAGCCCTTTTTCACCGTATTTATCTCATACCAACATGCTTGAAGAGAATGGCCTTCCATTTTCAAATTGCATACATAAATTATATCCTAGTATTTGAAGATGGGAGCTGCCTGTCTTGTCTTCTAACTAATCCTGAGAAAGTAGCTAATTCACAGTATTCATAAATTCAGTCTAAAATACTGCATGTTGATGGGATGTCAAAGAAGTAAGAAGAGTTATCAAATACACAGACAGCAGATACCTGTGTTGCAGCATGAACCAGTGAGTGGTACCATTTTCTGAGCCTATGGTACTGTGCTTCTGCCTCCTTGAAACCATGACAAGACTTCAGAGGCCTAGAAATGTCTGTTATGGTAAATGTTCTTGTACATCTAAGCTCCAGGCTGTCCCTGGTTAAGCGGTGCTCTAGTCAGTTTGTCAGAGTGGTGAATATTGAACTGGTGGCTGAGGAGACTCTATTTTCTCCTAGACTAAGGTGAACAAAAAGTAACCCTTGCTATACCATGTTCTTCCATTCTTCAGCTGCACTTTCCCTTTTCTAATTAAGCCATTTAGAGGTGCGAAGGAGCAGGGAGTGATACTGCAGAAGCAGAATGAGATGGAAACAAAGTTTTGCTATATTTTTCCATTCTTTTTGGTTATGACTGCACATTGCAAACAGTTCTTTCATTTTTTTGAAGCAGAGATGTCACACAATCCATCTCTCACTGGTTAAAGAACCTTTGAAGAGTGTTTCTTTTGGGACGTTGAGGGCCAAAGATTTGTGTAGATGATTGTGTTACTTCAAGCAGTTGGTTTCCTAACCAACATTTAAAACAAATTGATGCTGTTAATGTGCTAGTCACCTTGACTCAGTGTAGGTGCTTAGAAAAAGTAATGCTCTTGCCATGCCAGAGTTAAGAACTGGCCATTATGAAATCATATCAAGGGGATCTGCAAAAGCTACGTAAGAGCATCTCCCTAAGGTAATAAAGTTGCTTTCTTAAGTAAGGCAGAATATCTACGATGTTTACAGCCCCTCACCAGATGGTGCTACTCCAATATCATGACCGATTCAAGATGTAACATGCTTTATGGAAGGAAGTACCCTCTTGGAAACAACCTTTCATCAGGTGTAGTATGGCCTAGATGTTGCAGTTTGAAAAGCTCCCTTTATGTGCCTGGGATAAGCTGAGTCATTAGGACTGTATCTGTTGAGCTCAGTTATTGGTCTTATGGGAACATATTAGGAATTTAAAATGGGCAGGAAAGTCAGTATATAAAATAAATTGAAATTTTAGCCCTAAAATAAAATGGAGAGCCCTATAAAAGTTCAGATTTTTTTTCATGTGTTTTTTTCCTTTATACCGTGTTTCTAACATTCGTTTCTCTTGCTGCTCCATTAGTTTTATGTTCGCTGTACACAACCCTGGGTTGGAATAGCTCAAATTATCTCTAAATTACTACGGTTACACATGATAGGATTTTCTTTTACAGAAATTTTTTTGAATTGAGATTGTCCTTCTACAAGCTGAGAAAACTGAATTTGTGTACCTTCCCACTTTGTAGGACATTTTTATCTCAACTCTCAGTATGAAAATAAAACAGTAAAAAAAAAAATCAAAGACAACCAGAT